CAACGTTGCGTGACGAGATTGAACAATGACCTGCTCGTAGGCCATAATAATGCGTACTGCCGCCTCTTCGTCAGAGACAAAACCGCAATTATTATTCTTGCCGTAAAGGGCCACAGCCAGTAATTCCGTTTCGTTTTTCCTGTGTAGAAAGATGCACAATAGGCGTTACGTAGCACTTTTTAATTGACGTAAAGCAAGGTGGTGGAAATAGCCTGGGAATGAGGATGAGTTTTGGCATCGAGTGTCAGTCAGGCTTAAAATGCTGGGACGACAACCAAGCTTGTTAGAGTTTAAACTTATCTTTCGAGCGGACTTAAATATATTTATTTAAAGCACAAACCTAATATTGCAAATCACTTCTATTGTTATCGTACTGATGAAAACAAATACCCTTCAGAACAGTAAAAGTTCATTGTCGTGTGTAACGTTAGGCGATTGGATCTATTGATAGATTCATATAGCGGACGAAAGAACTACACTTTCCTGACAAAAAAAAAATTCTTGTGGAAGTTAGTGCCACATACTACCTTAAATCTCAATCAGTCAGAAAACTTGCGGTCCATAAAATGCCTTCAGTGACATATTAGATGTAAGCAGGAGAAATCCTTCTAAACAAAGTCATCGCGTTCAAATGCAAATTTTTACTGGGCGACCCGGCATTTTCTCCAGCATTTTAGTGTTTCCAAATTGTCATGGATGGCATCAACTTGTTCCAAAGTCTTAATCTCCATAACTCGCCGTGTTAACAAATAATGAAAAGCACTAGACAGCGATTTTGCTAAAACAGTAACGCCTTCAATTAGATCTAGAACCAATTCAATTCAATCCGCTGATTCGCAGATCCGGCCAAAATATAGGCTCCGTGTAGCTTCTTGTACAATAACAGATAGTCGCCTCAAAATATTCTTCGTTGTTTACTGGAAAATGGCATTTCACCTGAAAAAGTCTGGTCCCTACTGGCGAGTAAAAAGTAAACACGCAATTGTAGCGGGAAAGTATCGTTTAAACAATATTTAATTCACGGAGAACTTTTAAAAGCGAAGAAACGGATATTTAACATGGCAGTCGACGCAGAAAGTAAATATAACTTTGCGGTTTTACAAAGAGAGCGGCTACAGGGCAAAAAACAAGATCATCAATGAAATATAATTTATGCAAATGTATTGAGTTAGTTTTACTAGAGTCAGCAAAACTAGCCCATCCAAAACAACACGCCCTGATGCTAAATTCGTATTAGGCCTTTAGCTGACGGTGTGTGCGGTACAAGTGAAGTAGTGGTACACAAAACATGTACGTTTTAACTTGCAATTGGTAGAAAAATTTACTTGAAGACCTCTCTCATCCTGACAGATCATAACGATAAGGTCCTCACGAAGGACAGCCATCACGCTGGGTAGATGAGCTCACAATTCTTGTAGATGTCATTCTTAGGCTCGTTCTTTAGGCGAAATTAAAAATGGAATTCATGTATAGCAACGAAATATCCCTCAGTCGAGAAAACGAAATAAAGTTAGCGCAGGACTGCGTCAACACTTGGTAAACATCACCTTTTCTTTAATCATTCTTCGACTTCAAAAGTGCGGAATTACGGGAGCACTAGTTTAACGACCCTCTCGTTATATTATTCTTCGACTTCGTGAGCGCGGGATTGTGGATGCACTAGTTTAACGGCCATATCATTTTATCATCATTCTTCGACTTCAGGAAAGCTTGAATGCAGGACCACTGGTTCAAATGACCTCTCTTTCAACATTATTTTTCGAAATCGGGACCGCAAGAGCAATCCATTCATAAAAGTCAATAGCGGCCGGATATTGTGGTTGCTCCCATCAACATCTCAAGCAATATTTGATTCAAAATTTTCTCATGTTCCACTCAGTCTCCTTTAGAACGAACTATAGTCGTACATTGATCTCAACTCCGCCACTTTCCCAACACGACTAATACGTTTCTTAATTCGCGAACCGCTCTCCGCGAGTCACGCGTTGATTGGCTGAAATTTGGAGACCTGTCAAACCATAATTTAGCAAGAACGCTCTGATTGGTGCGACATCGAAAAATACTACAATCTGATTGGTTTGTGATACACTAAAAAATTGCACCAATCACATTGCTTTGAGATACATCAAAAAAAAACATGTGCCAGTCAGATTGCTTAGAGATACACCAAATTGCGCTGATTAGATTACACTACACCAAATTACACCAATCTATACGCTAACATATAGTTTTTTTAGCAAAATAACTAAAAAACAAACAAAAACAAACAAATAACAACAAAACATAAAACAATAATGCAATAAGGCGATTGCGTGCCAATACCTATTTCAATATTAATTCCTACCGCTATATTTCGTGAATATAAGTCTCAATTTTAATCACAAGATGATTTTGTTTGGTAAGGGAGGACTTTCCCCCCTCCCCAACCCCTTTTCGGGGCTTCTCCCTTCCCCAACCGCTCTTCAGGGACTTTCCCCCCTCCCCAACCGCCCTTCGGGGACTTTTCCCCTCCCCAACCCTCCTTCGGAAGACTTTTCCCTTCCCTAACCTCCCTTCGGGGACTTTCCTCCTCCCCAACCCTCCTTCGGAAGACTTCCCTTCCCCAACCTCCCTTCGAGGACTTTCCCCCTATCCCAAGCCTCCTTTGGAGTTACATTCCGTCAAGTTATAAAATATCTTCGAATAAAAAACGTTACAATATTATTTTCATACCCTCATCTAAATATGTCTTATAAAAATGCGCATAGTACCTTTGTTATATCATGAACTCAGGGATTTATTTAATTTTACTATGCAGGCGACAAGATATCGAAATGAGTCTGCAGGTGAGATCGTCTTATTTTTATCTCCTTTTCTGGTAATTTATCCATTTAATTTAAAACCAGTAGGCGGATAATAAGTTAAGCAATCCACAACAGCAAGAGACTAAAAACCGCTCTCGATTAAAACATGAAGATTCCCTATTCATTCCCATCTGAATGAAGGTGGATACAATTCCTGTATATATAATCTCCTTTTCATTCGAAACTCATGTTATGTTTCTTGTTTAGAGATAGCCCTTGAATAAGGGAACTATAAAAGAGATTCTAATTTATTGACATTTTTTTCATTTCTTTTAAATTTGTCAAAAGCAATGTTCCTTTTTCTGATTCAGGTGTTATTTGAGGACAAACTACTTCATAAGGCGCAGCGTGGCTTACTCATCAGCAAACCAAAATACGGAATCTTTGTCACTGCCTTTTACAAGAAAGATCTTCCTGTAAATGACCTCACAGTTCGGGACGGCATTTTGGATGCCGTGCGTGACGTCATCAAATACGCACTGGAGTTGGAGAAAGCTAAAGGAAACGGTTAGAAAGTTTAATTGTACAGAAGCCATTATTAGTAGAATAACTGTATAGCCCTCCTCCAAATGAGACTTTTTCCCTTTTTTAAAATTTCCTTTGATATAAAACGTAGAATAGACCAAATATAGGCGAAAGATTATAAGGGGTTGTATGGCATGTGACTTCTTGATTCTGTAGCTGCTATCTTGGTGTATCACATATTGAGGTTCCCAGACATAGGTTGCTGAACAGACTTGAATATATCTGACTAGCTTCAATCAACAGTGGCATTTGCAATATGTGAGGCAACCAGATATAGGTTCAATCAACACCTCAGAATTTGTTGCACGAGATCCTTAGCAACGGTAAACTTTACTGCCGGAAGGGACGAAGTTTGGCAATATTGAGTGCATTCTCCTTAACCCGTCCTGCTCAGAGTGCTTTCTCTCGGCATTTGATGCTGCCTTTCGGCTGGCATTGGTGTGACTTTGACTGAGAAGCTCAATACCAACATCATATCTGTCCCTGAGAGAGTTATTTAGAGCAGTTCGTAAAAATGGAAAAAAAAATTGCTTATCCACCCTAGTTTGTCACCACCATTTTTCAGAGTCATGTACCAGGGCAATTGTTGCGTTTGACCCAGACCAGTGGAGAGAGTGGTATAAAGATGACCCCAAATTAGCAAATCTTGATGAACGTCCCCTGGGTAAGAAGCTTGTTCCTGACTCGCAGAAATTCCTGGACACAGGAGGAGATGTGTTCTTTTTGCTTAAATCAAACGTTGAAGGGGAATTGGAGAAAGTTCTTCAGCGTGTTGAGACTAATATGAAGAACTTCTGCGACGAACCGGATGTCACCCAATCTCAGCNCTCAAAAATAGTATGGTATTAAGAATAATTAACAATTATTCCACGAGCGCGCGTTGGATATGAGATGATAGATAGCCAACGAGGCGCGTAGCGCCGAGTTGGCTATAATCATCTCATATCCAACAAGCGCGAGTGGAATAATTGTTTTATTAAAAACGTTCAATTAAATTATTAAATTTTATTAAATTTTTAGTTCCCTTTTAATCTTAAGCTGAAACGTACGCTTGCCATATTTGTAGATTATGGTATATTGGCTGATAGACCATAATGGCTAAGCCAATAAAAAGTCTTGAATTGCATTATCCTATGATCCAGTTTTTAATAAATATATATATACCATACGAATGTAATTTCCCGTTAAGCCTTCCTATATCTATTGTATATCCTGTTTCATCCACTCTCCCTCTGCCATTTTAAAGGGACCAGAGTACTAAATATCCATATTCAGTTCAGTGTAACTTTAATATTTGAAAACAAGCTTTTCATGACGGACAGGATTACTCCTTTATTTCCTAGAGCAGCATGGTGCCTATGTGATTCGCCAGGGATTGAAAGAGTGTTGACTTCTCCGGTCCAATTCCACTCTCACGAAGCCCCCTCTCAAACCCTTATTTTCCCCTTCCCCCCTCAGCTCCAAACGGGGTTGGTTAGCAGAGGCTCCCTCCTCCACCCACGCTTAGAGCAGAGATTAAAGTATATCTCAACTGGAATCGATAAAGGAAAATACCAAATAAAGACAGTCTTTGTGTAAGGCATCCGTCATGCTCATGTGACTTTTATGTCTTTTATTGTTTCCCTCAGCGGATCATTCAAAATTCCTTTACTGATGGAGTGGCAAATCCCTGTGACGCAGAGAGCATTAAGAATTACATTGTGAAGAATGAAGGGGCGTTGTCAGGTTATCCTGGATCATGCTACCTTCTGGCGCAGAAGTTTGAGTTCAACTGGACGGTCCTTGGAAACATGGACAAGGTAAAGAACCAAGCTCTTCTTGCTATCTATTTTCAAATTATTCTGGCAGTTGGGAGGACGAAACACCAGAGAAACTAGCTCAACTAATCTCCAGATCCTTCAGTACGGTTCTCGAAAACACTCTGCCACTGAACTTTATAACTATACAATGACTATTAATTGCTGACAAGATTATTTGCCAAAGACTGTCACCAGCCGGTCGCATATGTCATGCGACAACAACAAAAAATATTACATAATTGTCCTCGTTATTACAAGTTCTTGAACAGCAACAGGTAAGAAGAAATTGGAAACGTGGACAAAGTAATACAGGGGGGTTACCGTCATTTCGCCTCCAAGCCGTTTCGTTGACGACCAGTTCGTTAGCGTCTTAAGTCGTTTCGCTAACGTCACAAAAGTCGTTTCACATTGTACTGAAACGGACTAACTCCCCCCCTCGTACGGTATTTCGGTCGATGAGAAGTCGAGCTGGTTCTATTCACTGGCACAAAGATCGTTCACCATTCAGTAAGCTATTCTCATTATCTATCCTCGACTATCTGCTGACAGGAAAGGAGAAAATCTGCGCCCGTTTGAGCCCTTAAACTTGTTATCATCAAAAAAAAAAAAAACTCACTTTAGAATCCTTTTCATACAAAATATATATCTTTTGGAGACATAAGTACATTTTTGTGAAACACTGAACAAACGAGGCGATGTGTCTTCACCATTAGGGAATTTATTGGTGTTATAGATCCTGTCTCATCAATGATCACTGTTACAGATTCAAAAAGGAGACATGATTGGGAGGAAATCTGGCACAGACACATTCATACCTCACACGGACAAACGTGCTCACATCTCACGCGTGCATATGGAGCTCGACGTTCCACCAGTAAATGGTCTTTTGAGGCATAAGCGCGTCTTCCGTGTTTCAATGCCTTACGGTCAAGCGGACCAGTCAGGCCGTGAAGAAGGGCTGATGTATATGCACTTGTGTAACACTACAGAGGTCTTCAAGACGATACTGAAAAACATTGCTGGTAACGACAAGCATTCTAAACTAGGTGACGTAACCGTTGATAGCTTGATCAGCGCAGTCCGGCCAGTACAGGGAACCTTCTATTACGTACCAAGCGCAGAAGAATTGAAGTTATCTACTCTCGCGGAAAGAAGGTTAGAACGATTTCTACTTATAGTTCAAGTAAACTGATACAACTTTCAAGATCTTTTGCGGACGATTTTGGGCCTTTTTTGTCTCTGCCAAACAACTATCACTCACTGAGAGATTTATTTTCATCAACCAATCAGTTCTCATTTAGACTTCTGTAGATTCCATAACATGAGGTGAAAGTATTTTTTCCCTTTGTACTCCTATATAAAGGAAAAGTCTTCGCTGTTTCTTTAAAAACTCCGCATGTTTTCCTTGTTTCTTCTCTTAAAGGTACTGTACAAAGTTTCTATTCGAGTAAGGGTTTACTCTATTTTCTGTTATTCCGAATGCAAGTGATGAAGTTGCATTGCTATTTTTAAATACGAGATTGGAAATGTTTTTACCGTACAGTTGTAGAATGTGTTGTAAAAATGTGAGCGCGTAAAACGTATGAATTGGGTTCAACAATTTATCTTGTCGAGAACGATTTGAAAATGAATTTTTCTTTTAGTGAAGGAAAGAAAATATGGTTTAATTAGTTTTGGTGTACCAATAGTTACCTGTTAGCATTGGAAGCTTCAAGAATAAGGGCTCAAACTTCTTACGGTATGAGAGCTGTTGCAAGGTTTCATCTTAGCCAAACACAAGAACCCGCACTGCTGATGAGAGAGTACAACTAATTTGGTAAAAGATCGGAGATGGTGTAAAATGCTAGAGAGCGAGAGGTAAAAAACTCAAAAAGAAAAGAAGACGGATTAACAGAGAGCTGTCTGAGTCTATTTGTAAAAGTAATGATGTAGTCCTTTAATTTCGCAGAGTCTGTTCCTGTTTTGCAGGTTTGAAATCATAGATTTTTGGAAGATAAGAAGCCCATCAAACGACTACCTGTTTTACAATCAGAAGGAATACCTCCACCGTATGACAACTGGAGGATACCTTCCAGGAGACCCTCCAAGTAACCGAGTCCTTGGCCTGTTAGACTATGGCTTTCAGCAATGGAACGATGAATGGTTCAAACGCCGAGAGATGCCTAAAATTCCGCACCTCTTCACGATGTTAAAACCTAGAAGATTGAGCAAGGTGAAAGATGCTTCAGTTATGATACGGAAAGGATGGGCATTGAAAGTGTCAGTGGGACGTCTGTTTACCACAAACAAAGTGAACAAGCTGCGTGGTACAAAGGAGCCATTCTTTGGTTGCAAAGCCGACTTCTTTAACCTTCATCCAGACGAGATCATAGTGGGAAGGATGCCCAAATGTTTCTCCCTTGGGCTTGGTAAGGCGGTGATGCCCTACCTTCATGAAAACGAAGTGATTCCAGCTTTCTACAAGGGTCTGAGTGAAGCAGCTGGAATGGGCCATGTGGTTCCTGACTATGAAAGACTTGTAGAGAAAGGCCTGGGGAAAATGATAGAGGAATTGAAGGCCGACAAAGGAGAAACAGCGGAGGAGTAAGATTTTATAGCTTCCTGCATCCTGGCTTTGGAAGGGATGCAAAAGTACATGAAAAACTTTGGATTTTTAGCTGGTTACCTTGCAGACAACAGTGGCTTTGCGATATCTGAGGCCCAGAAGCAAAACTTGAAGCAGGTAAGATTCAAAGAGTTGTTGAAATATCAGGCACTGCAGTTGTCGTAAAAACTGGAATTTGTGGCCCGACACGGCTGCTTTATTAAAATCTTTCGAAGCCTACATGCTTTTCCGTAGAGAACCAGTATAAAGTACATTTCGCGAAATGTATTCAAGTGTATTCAGTAGAAGTAGTTTTTTATTCGAAACAGATAGAGGCAAGAATGAAAAAGATGTCAACCGACCGTCCAGAGACGTTTGTCGAAGCCGTTCAACTCTTATTCTCATATCACTGCTGTTTGCACCTCACTGGGGAACCAACATCTATCGGGCGTCTGGATCAGATCCTACTACCGTTCCTGCAAGGAACATCAGCTGAAGACGCCCAGGAAATCATTGACTGCCTGTTTGTCAAGCTCTGTGAACACGCCCATGTCAACTCACGTCTGTTAAATGATTTGGGTACTTGGGGTATGACAGCAGTTCCGTACGCCTCCACAGGGATGTTTGCAAACGGTGATACCATTAATCAATGGGTTCAGCAGGTGAGCTGATGATTCTAGTGTTTCAATGCGCTTTTTGCCGGTCTAAGTTAAATTCTTAACCTTTCCAACCTTTCATATAACTACGTTCTTAACTATTCGCCTTTTGTTATACGTTTTCCAAATTTCGCAATATTTACCTCCTGCCTACCTACCAACCTATCTACCTACCCGTTTTTCTACTTTCTTAATTAACATAATATAAATACCTTCCCACCTACCAAACGTCTTACACTAAGCTACCTTAAGATTAGTCTCCCTTACTCCCATCGTTGGTACGTAACGACCCACATAGCTTAACCAACCAACCTATTTACCGACCTTATGTCCAACTTATACCTTATAGCCTACCATCCATATTAATCTGTCTACAGAAAAGTATACGAAGAATTCATAAACAAATTCAGGCTGGTTTTCTCTTCTCTCCCTAGAATTTCATGATACGAAACTACAAGTAACATAAAGGTTTCTCAAATTCAATTGCAATTGTAACTGTTGCTTTTTAGGTCACTGTAGGCGGGTACAAAGCAAATGACGCAGCAGAGCCAGAATGTGGCTGCAATGAGATCACAATCATGTGTCTGAAAGCCTCGCGCAGGCTTCCACTTAATGCCCCGTGTTTGTCCTTGCGAGTACATAAAAATACGCCGCAGAAGGTATGTAAAGAAAATATATCTATCTGATAACTTTTCCGGACGATCAGGTAACACTATCACGGTGAGGGGGGGAGGGAAGGAAGGAGTGGGTTTGAAGTGAGGGGTCTTTGAAAACGTTAGGGTTGACCATCCCCGTGAGGTAAGAATGTTTAGGATAAAAAGGTTGACACAGATCTCAAATATTATTTGTATTTAATCAAGAGATAAGATCCACAAAGTATACTAGTAGATAATGAAGAATTCATCTTAAGTTGGCCGTAAGCTACATTGCTTTTTTTGCCTAACTGGAGTTACACGGCTGTACTCTCTAGGGATCACACGTATTGCTTCCTATTTAATGAAGAAAACGTCATCTTGGTTGTATGATTTTACTAATTTTTGCAATGTAAACAGGTTCTCGAGGAAGCTGCCAAAGCCATACTCAGTGGCGGGGCCCATCCACTTTTGCCCCACGATGATCACCTAATACAGGGCCTTCGAGAAGCTGGAGACGCCACACACGTGCCAGTGAGCCTAAAAAGCGCACGAAATTACTGTTGCGACGGTTGCTACGAGCCAATATTTCCTGGAGAAACAGACTTCTCCTTGGCTTATGTGCCACTGTTACAAGTACTTGAAATGACAATGAACCACGGGTCTACGTACTCGCTCGCTGGGCCCATGTATCTGGAGGGTGTACCACAATCTCTGCCCACAGAACATGCGGAGGAGATAAAGAGCTTTGATAAGGTCTTTATTGATATTCTTCTGCCCTTTTCCTTGTTTATCAGGCGGGGAGGGGAGGGGAGTGTTCCCCTCCCCTACGTTGCTTTCGCTGTGGAACGCCTCTGTTCTAGAATAAAAGCTAAGGCTGCAGAATCACTTGAGCAGAAGCTTACTTGTTCAATACTCGTGCTTTGTTATTTATTTTACTTAAATACTTTTCGATTGTTTTTCAGGTCAAGGAGATCTTTGCTAAGCACCTCAATGTGCGAACAGGGTACACCCTTTTCCTTCTGCTTCTCAACTACGACAACATCGTGCAGTACTCTCCCAGTCCTCTGTTATCTTCCCTTATCCAAGGTTGCGTGGAAACAAAGCGGGACATTTATAACGGTGGTGCAAATCACACACTTATTGGTGTCCAGTTCATCTCTTTTTCCAACACTGTTGACGCTCTGTACGCCATCAAAAGGCTTTGCTTTGATCACGACTCAGCTCTGATTTCCTTGGCTGAGTTAGTTCGATGCCTCAAGTGTGACTGGGGGTACAACATGCAAGAACCCTTCCATGACGAGATTGCTGGAGCCACCCGAGGTCAGCGGTTGTCCGATACGTACAAGGCAGTACGCGAAACAGCGCTTAACTTGCCCAAATTTGGAACCAGTGCCGGCGCGGAAAACAAAGACATCCAAGAAATCACGAGGTGAGTTACGTTTAGAAGCCCTTACAAATCGACTGGTTTTCTTGTTCAACTTCCTCGTTGGTTTATAGTTGATCATTTTATGAGACAAATTCGTCCGAAAACCACCAATGGAACATCTATGCCTTCACTTTACAGTGTGACTATTTCTGTCCTCACTGATGAGTGACCGTCATGCCGTGGTGGTCCGTTAACTACTCTGGCCATGGTCAATGTGTCACTCGACTTTTACCTTTGCAGGTGTGTGCTATGGATGTCACCAATAGGTAATCAAACCAATAAACCCCCAAATTAAATCGAACCCGTAATGAGATGAACCATATCTAAGGAGAGACTTTATGCTTAGCTAAACGAACGCATCGCGTATCAGTGTCTGTCCTAAACAGGTTGCCTCACATCTAACCACTTTTTTGCCTAAATATATCGTCTCATTTCTGCAGTTGGCTGGCGGAACAAGTTTCAACAGTTGTTAATAAAGTGTCTCGCCCCAGTCCGGAAGCTCATCAACCCCTAGTCGAGTTGATTGACGGCCTTAAGAAAAAGTACTCAGTGCCCGGGGCACCATGGGATGTATTGCTGCCTACAGGATCAGGGACATTTGAAGGATACGTTGGCTGGGGAGCGGGTTGTGGAGCTTCCGCTGACGGTCGGCGTTCGGGCTCACCCATAGCCTCAGATTTGAGTGCTGCTCCCACACCACTGGATAAGCCACCGATACTGAAGAACTTTGATATTTACAAGTAAGTTTTGGGGAAAATGTATACACACACACACACACACACACACACTCACTAAAGTATTGCAGAATTTTCACAAAGATGATGTCCTTGGAAAAATTGTTTCAGTTGCGAGTCTTTGTGAAGAAACGACTGGACTGGGCTTGTTTGTGAAATGTCATATCGGTGCGTTTTACCGCTTCACTTAAACACCTAGGCTCATTTCTTCGCCAATCCATTTACGCATGTGCTACACATGCCAAGCCACTTTATATAACTCTCATTCTTTACTGAAACACGTCATTGTTCTTTACACGACCAAGTTCCACATTTTTGTTCTAATACGAAAGTCTTCCTACGCTAATTAATGCAACAGCCGTAAATCGATCGACACCTGTATAAAATATTGTTAGAGCACAAGATTTCATTCGTAGTCCTAGCCGGAGTCAGTGTGCTGTGTTCTTGGCTTTATATACGTGACTTTTTGTTTTCATTGGTATTTAGATCCCTGAAAAGCTGGGATATGCACTCGATCAACGTTGGCTTCGCAAACGGTGCAGAGATCGATTTGAAGATCATGGAAGACTTTAAAGAGAGCGAATTGGTTGAGTTCTTAAGGAGTTATGCCGACCTGAAAGGTGTTGGAGGAAATATTTTGACTGGTGAGTTGTATTAAACAATACGACTAATAAACGCCGCACAGGTTTAAGGACGTTGATCAAGCGCAATAGTTCATTTCGAACGTAGAAGTCTTTTCCTAGCTTTAGAAGATGAATATCAGTTGGAAGCAGAAAGACTCCATCCAAAGTAAAATGAGCCCACTGCCTAAGGCGAGGGGAAGAAAGAAAAAAAAAGAAAAAAAAAATTCACCATTAGCTTTAAATGTACAACTGTTTTACAGATGCACAAGCAAACACAATCGCCTGAATTCAATAAATACGAATGGACGACTTTGTAAGGCAAAGAAAAACGCAATTAAATTTTCCCTTGGGCCTCCATCAAAATAAACAGGGTATCCAATACGATGAACATCATATCAACTTAGTTTTTTTTCTTTATAGTAACTTGTGCCAATCCTGAAACATTCGCCAACGCCCAACGCAGCCCAGAACAGTACGATCTCATCCGCGTACGCACAGGGGGTTGGAGCGAGTTTTTCATTACTTTCTTCACCGCGCATCAGAAACATCAAGAGAGGAGAATGTATTACCATACTACATGAAGTACTGAATTCCTAAAGTCAAAGCCGTGTTGTGGCTTAGTCGTCCGCAAAGCCTTTCTTTTTTCCGAATTAGCGCGAAACTGGTTTATCAACACTCTTTTTCAACGCGCAAATTTTAAGCACAAGTACATTAGTCTAAAAGGGGCTTGAATGCCGCCCAAAATAGGAACTAAGTCGAACAAATGCTTTGCCTAGATCGTGTATTTGTATTCAAACTGCAGGTTTAAACAGGTATTACCATTTTTTTCGGAGAATCGACTATGCTCTGATAGATTGTACACTGTCCCCGTATTTCCAAAGATTGTACTTAGTAAACAAAATGGTCGGAATTTGGCGATCTTCAACCAGCACTTTCATTTTACTCGTCGAAGACTGCAGTTCGGGCAGTCGAAAGCTCGTAGTTTTTAATCATTTTAACCAGAGATCGTTTTTAAATTTCAACTACGTTCCATTCTGGCTGCGGCCCTTCAATATTTTCACCAAGGTGCTTTTGCATTTATCCGAAAGTACTTGCTTTTCGTGTGACTTAATTTGAGCGTAGAGAACAGTCTTGACATTGTTATCAGTAGAACATAGGATATAGCTGTATTTTCTTTAATCTTTGTATGTCGAGTACTGAAAATGACCGCGCAACCAATTGGACGTGAAAAACACTTGAGTGAATAAATGGCAAAGTAATAATTTCATCCCAATTGTTTTTGCTTGTCTGTTTGTTTATTTGTTTTAGCACTCAGAGAAAGTTATTATATCAATCCTATCCACAATAAGGCTGGAAATTATTTTTTTCAACACGCTATGATAATTTCATGTCTGTTTAATCCTCGGCCCCAAATGAATTTGAAAATGCACAATCAATTCCACGGTCTAGGCTTACAGTCCTCTTTAATCAATAAGGAGAAGTTTTTCTTTCTCAGGTTAGTCTTTCGCGCGTGCAAAGATCTCGGCAAAAAACAAACTAACTAACTAACTAACAAACTAACTAACTAACAAACAAACAGATGAACAAAGTGCTCAGCGCCGTGCGCAACTGAACTTATTGAAAACCGTCCCTTTATGGGTGTGACCGAAAATTATTCCATGCACAGATGACTTTGATATAGCGCGACGGACTAAGCTACGAGAAAGAAATTCTCCTAGTCTATCTGAATTAACCAATTGGTGTCTTTCTATCAAAATGCTTAGCGATTATCGTCTTCGTCAACCATATGGCAATGTCCCATCCATAATACAAGACAGGAGTTCATAACTCAAGGCTTTTGAATCCAAATTGCACACGTAGCTGCGAAGCCTAGGGTGAGGAAAATAACTAGAAGCAGTCGATCAATCGCTTCCCCTATCTCCCTCCAAGAGTCCTTCCACTCACACTGTTCCCTCTTTTCCTTCATTGTATGGAATGCCGGGTCGTTATCGCCTGGCGTATTTACCGCCTTTTTTACTTCATTTTCTACTGTTTCTTGAGGGTCTGTTGGTGATTTTGACCTTGCAAACACTGTGTTGTTAGTTTTCTTTCTTTCGTTTCGCCTGAGCACAAACTTTGCGAACTTGACCAAGGACGCCGACGGTTTTCTCTCGGCAAAGTGGCAACGAAGCACAACGACTGTGCCAACGAGGCTGAACCCAATGAGAAATATAGTCGCCATGTAGTACAACCCGAGAATTGCCACATCATCGGATGTCTCCGGTAAAGAATCGGCCAAAATCAGGAGATAAACACTCATAGAAAGCAATATGGTGATACAAAAGCTGATTCTCTCACCACTATCAGGAGGAATGATAAAGTTCAGTATAACGAGGAGAATTATAACCACACAAGGCAGGATCTGGTACAACACATGATACAAAGTTTTGCGCTGAAAATGGAACGAATAGATGATATTAGAGAACGGATGGTCGCAACAGTTAAAATCTTCATTGGCAGACTCTATTGTCACATCTTCCAGTGTCCAGTCTCCGCTCTCAATAAACTTTTCTGGCAAGAAAAAGATAAAGTAAAACAATTAACTGCGGGGTGTTCCACCCAGACTCATGCCCAGACTTCTAACTACTAACATTAGAGGACTAAAACTCAAACTCAACCAACATGTAATGATCGGTCTGGGAATCGAACCCAGGCCACAACAGTGGGAGGCGAGAGTTCTCACTCACAATCCGAGCTCCTTGCATCCCCATGCATATGGTACTGAATAACTATCGATCCGACCAACCTGAATGTGAATATTTTCCAGCTGGAGTAATCATTCTCAGTAACCTGCTGTCGAATGTCCATGAACCAAACGTCATTTTACATTCCTGTGTGTCAAACGGATAAAATGTCACCCTCATGTCACAGGAGCTTTTGAATGTCGCAGGAGACATCCATTTATTAGTGCCATCGCTGTAAACCATAACGTATGTCTTGAACTTCTCTTTGAATCCTGACAGCGTTGCATCTTCATCAGCACTGATTGAAACGAAATAAGAATAACATGATTTGTTACCACAGTGTGGGAAGTAACCTGGGATTTGCCGAAAAAAAAAAAAGTCTTTTTTGTTGCTAGCGTGGGCGAAGGATGCTGATTACGTATTACAGTCCCATAGGGACTATCCACCATAAATTTGCGACACTTTTCGGGATTAATTGCTTTTGTCGTTTTCAAGCAATCTTGCAACTATTTTCTTTTAAATTTGCATTGTGGTATAAAGTTCTCCCAAGGACGGATATTGGTGCTTGCGTATTTCTCTTCTTTTCTTCTTACTTTTTTACTCAAAAAGTGGAAAAAGGGGTGAGGGGAGGGGCGGTGAGTAGCAAGGCCTCGCCCAGTCCTCCTTATTAATCAGACAGGACATGTGTCCCACAGGGATTCGATTTTCGGAGCTTCCAACCTAACTCTGTTTACAGGTTTAGAAAAGGAAGGAACGTTTTCCAACCTCTTTCCCAGGGCCTTTTCCCTTCCCCACCCCCAGATAAGGGAAAAGGCCTTGGGAATGAGGTTGAACGTTTTCAAAATTTACCCAAAACGTTGAAGCATACGAGCATTAATTTCTTACTTGTTGTACAGCACTGTGTCCGGGACCCAAACATCATGGGGTGACATGTGTAGTGTATGTAACCCTTCGTAGTCGGATTCATTCCACTTTAAATAAGGATTGTTCCAAGACTGTCATAGAAAAAGTTAGAAACGTTTTTCAGTGCCGTCTCCTTGCAGAGTATTGGGCAGATATGCTTCCTTCACAGATGTTGTTCTGCGCGATTTTCAACCAAAGCTTATCCGTGACGATGTCAGAATTGGCTTTTATAGATTGTGCTGGTA